GATTGGTCCCCTAAGGTTCACTATATGCTGAATGAGGATTTATAAGTCTAAAAGTTCTCAAATTATTCCTCACTAGCATCTACATAGAACTAGTAAGGTATCGTGATCCTCACTCATATAAGTTACAAACGAAAAGGGTTCAATTTGAGTGAAAATATTTCGCTTGCCATTACGGATGTTATCACTTTACAAGAACATAAGTACTTTACTCTCTTCTAAAAAAGACAGAGCCCAAGTATAGAGCTCATGTATTATATGAATGTGTCGTGTGTGAATAAGGGAACATAGCATTAAAAACCTAATTTTAAATGCCTTGCAATGTATCAAGAATAATATATAAAAACAAAAATGAATAAATGACATAATTAAAATGAAATGCATATAAATTTTTTAATACTATTGTTATTTAAAAAAAAATTAAAATCAAGAAAATTAAAGTTAAATATCAATTAAGACCATTAAATCAAAGTTAAAGATAACACAGAATTAAGTTTTTAGCCTAACTCAAAAATTGCGTTTCCAGTGAAGTCGCCAAACTATCATAATAGTTTCAAGGATCGCTAGACAAATTTTTTTTTAAAAATAGAGTCGCCACCAATTTTTTTCAATTATGTGTGATTAGCCACTTATTAAAACTTACATTTTTAATAAAATCTTAAAATTAATTAAAACTTTACTAAAAGGATAATTTTTGAGCCTGCAAAACATTTTGGGTTTGAGAGTCAGTTACGTATGGGGAAGAATTAGCACCTCCACAATGCTCGTTTAAAATGGTACCAATTAATCATATGATATCTTTTAAATTTTGATAAAAATGGTCTTAAGTTTGGTGTTTAAAAATAATTTTCTTGATTTATTACAACCAAAACCTCTTTTTGTATATATATTTTTTTAATCGTTTGTTTGAAGATAAATAAGAACCTTATGTATCAAAACATTTTCAAAAATATTTTAATATTCTGACAATATTAAAATGAACTTTTTCACCTAAGGATATTTTAAAAATTACTACTCGGACTTATCAAAAATCGCATTCTCAACAGTTCATATTTATCTTTAAAATCAACATTTAGAACATAAATAATAAAATGATGCAATAATATTTTCTTTTTATAAAAATTTATTTCTTTTTTTTTATTAAATAAAAAGTAGACAAAAATCTTTATTGAAAATTATTCTAAATGCTACATGATAGCATTTTAGAAAATTTTTCTCACCTAGAGATTCCTAAAAGAATCATTACTCGGACTTCTTTAGGATCTTATCTTTTGGAGGTTTCGTTTTATTTTTAGAATTTGTGTGTATAGATGAAATATGATGCACATGGATTTATTTATAACATTATTGCATGTATAAGAGTTTTTTTAATGAGGAAAAGCAAACGAGAATTTTTTTCATTAAAAATTATCCTAAATATCTCAATACTTTGGTAATAATTTAGAAAAAAATTTTCACCTAAGGATTTCTTAAGAATCAATACTCGAACTTCTTTAACATCCTATCACCAAAAATTTACATCATTTTCGAGATTATGGTAAGAAATGCATATAAAGTATGATATGCATGCAAAAATATTTAGTCATCTTATTTATTTTTTCTTATGCTATATCTTTTTTATTACTTATTTTATTTTACTTGTCTAATTGCTTCATTATCATTATTATTAATTTTTTTAAGGGAACAAAAAAAAATCTTTCTAATGAAAATTTTTGTAGATACCTCAATACTTTGGAGGTCATTTAAGAAGAATTTTCTTACCAAGAAATTTCTTAGAAATCTCTACTTGGATTTTCTTAAAATTTCATCCTCGAATAAATATTTTCTTTTTCTCTTTTTTTTTTTAATTTATTAGTTACATTTTTTAGAATAGATACTTTATTACTTTTTGAAATTGAAATTGAAATTTTATTTTTGTTAGTGCTATTTTACTAAAAAATATTAAATATTTATTATAAGGATTTGAAATTTTAAACATGCATAAATAAGAAAATAAATAATTTGAAAAATAATTGAAAACTAATATATAAATTGAAATAAAGAAAATAACAAAAAAAAAAATGAACAGGCCTGTCTAAAAGCTATTTGGCTATTTTTTGCTATTCAGACTAATTCAAAAGGCCATTTGGAGGTGATTTTCTACAAATTGAACGGTTCGATCCAATTTGAAACTAATTCGTAGGCAATTCACCTGAATTGGTTTGAGCTTGGCAGCAGTTCCTTGGTCTAGGTCAGGCATGCAGAGCTCAAGTTGGGTTTGACACGGCATGCAGGTCCTCTAAATTTTTTTTTACACTATAAAAGCATAATATATATTTTTGTTTCATTTTAAACCTTTCCCTTAAAAAAAATTCAAAGCTCTTAATAACAAAAACATCAACCACCTTTATTTTTAGAACCCGATGGTTAGTAATCATTGTTGTTGTTGCCTCCACCACAGATCGCAACTTGTCAACATCGAAAATCCTAGAAAAAAATGCCAAAAATTCCTTACGAACCCCTCTTTAACCCTACCAAGTTGGATCTTTCTAAAAGCTTGTAAATTTAAATCTAAATTGAAAGTTACGGTTTAAATACCAAAAAATTTCTCCCACAATCGCTCCAAATAGCTCTACCTTCAAGTATGCTTTTCTCACAGTCGATACCCTCTTCTTCTCCTTAGACCTGACCCTAAAATTCCTAAAAACACCTAGAATCAAAACCTATAGCCTCTTCTTTCTACTTTTTTTTTTGCTCTAATGCTGAGGTTCCTCCCTTATGGGAGGATTGTGTTTTTTTTTTTTTTTTTATAGTTATGATAGCTTTCAGGTGGATCTTTTTTTTGTGTTTTCTTTTTTTTTACTTTTTTATGGTTTTTTGGGTGGCTTAAAAGGGATAGTTGTTTGGGCGTTGGCGATGGGTAGGTGAGAAAAAGGTTGGGGCTAATGCTTGGGTTGGTGCTTGGTGTTAGTGCTTGGGAAAGAGGGGTTGTTGTTGGTGAGACAGAGTGATTTTGTTCAAAGTAGCCCACAAGTTCTGTTTGTTGAATGTTGAATTTTTAGAGTATTTTTTGTTTTCCTCCTTTGTATTTTAAAGCTCCATTATGTTTTTTATTTGTGAATTCAACCACAATAGACACAAGAATTAAATGTTTTACGATTTGAAAATGTAGTTTGGAAAGCAAAATTGCTTGGCCGGTTGTGGCGTGAAGCTACCCTTTGTGTAATAATTACAGGCCACTTTCATCTATCTTTTAGTCCATTTTTGTTGTTTTGTTTTTTTCTCTTTTTTTTTATTTTGTGATTTTTCACTTTTTAATTAATTTAATCAATTCTAAATAAATAAAAGTAAAAAAATTGAAAATGCAAATGGGTTTTAATACTTAATTTGGGCTTAAATAAATCTAGATTTTTATTAGACTTTTAAGCCCAAATAATTGAATTTTGATCCATAATTAAACTAAATTGGATCTAAATTTTATCTCGTGAAAAAATGATCAAAAACAATTAATCCGAGATAAGTTTTAAATGAGTCAATCCAATTAAAACACTCATATTAAGAAAATCAAATTATTTGAATCAAATATAAAAATCAAACAAAAGTCGAATTGATATAGACAAAATTAAGTGTTTATAGCAAATAATAATATTTATGTTTGTATACATCTAGGGACAAAAATTACATAAAATTACATAGGTGAAGTTCATAAAATTCTTTATTAGAAATAAGTAAATAAAAATTTTAATAAAAAATTTAAATTAATAATTTGATAGAATTTAATGTAAAGATTAATATTATAAAAAATTATTTAAAAAATTATTTATAATTCAAATTTTATTGATACTTATTCAATGATAAAAATTTTATTAATATTTTTACTAAAAATATTACTTAATAAATATATCAAAATTTATTAAAATTTTTTTAAATTTTATACTCTTAATCTATGTAATGAAATATTTTAATTTAATGATTTTGATTTTAATTTTTAATTTTGATTTACCTATTTTTAATAAAAAAATTTAACAAATTACAACTTTAAAACTTTAGAAATATCTTTTCCATATCTAGTGATTAAAATTATCCGACCAACAAAAGCTCTTTCTTACAAGGTGACCAAGTTCAAATGTTTGCTGCGCTTGGTACGTAAGTTGCAGAGTTGAAAGCATAGTGCCCTTTCAGCAGGTAAAATCAAGTAAATAGATGAGGTAGGTAGGGTTCAAAAATAAATTAAAATTTTCAGAGAAGGAAAAAAGATAAAGATTCCGTGTATCGTGTCATCCACTGTCTTGTCTAAATTATTTTAGTTGACTTTAACTTGACATATAAAAATGGAGACAGTCATTTTTATATTTTCAAAAACTAATTATGATTGATTAAAAAAAATCTTTTTTCAAAAACTTGAATTCAATATAGAACATGAGCAATTATCCAAGTGGGGTGAAATAGGTGCTTTTGGCAACAAAGAAGAGGGCATGGAAAAAGAAGTCACTTGCACGAGAAAAGCTTTGAAGTGAAATGATAGTACCAAACAAGATTGACAAAATGTAAAATAACAGAACTAAATGGATAAATGTTTTACGGTCTGAAAATGTAGTCTGAAAAGCAAAATTGCTTGGCCGGTTGTGGCTTGAAGCTGTCCTTTATACAGTAATTGTCGGCCAGTTCCATTTATCTTTTTGTCCATTTTTGTTGTTTTATTTTTTTTATTTTGTGATTTTTTTTAATTAATTTAATCAATTTTAAATAAATAAAATTTAAAAAAATTAAAAATAAAAATAAATTTTAAAACTTAATTTGGGCTTAAATAAATTTAAATTTATATTAAATTTTTAAATTCAAATAATTAAATTTTGATCTATAATTAAATTAAATTGAATTTAAATTTTATGTCGTGTAAAATAATTAAAAGCTTTGAAGTGAAATGATAGTACCGAACGAGACTGACAAATGTAAAATAACAGAACTAAATTCAAAAGAAAACTTGCGGGAGAAAGAAAAATCTTTGAGCTCTCAGCCAGGCTTAATATACAAAATATTAAAAGAAATCCTCTACGGTAACCCAAAGGTTCCGATCTTTTGGTGTTTGAGAAAAAGGGTAATGTGGGACAATAGTCAGCTTTCATTACTCACAGTGCAGAATAAGTGGGCTTGAAATTTTGATTTTTTCACTCGAAAAAGTTATGCGAGAAAGTGACACTCTGGGTCCCATTTTATCAACAGGCTTTTAATAACGGACCACTTCCGAATAAAGCAAGTAATATCTGTAGAACAAGGCTTGCACGTTAAGTTTCAGTTGATATCTGTGTTTTTTGCTTAGAAACAGGCAGAAAGGAAGAGAAAGGTTGTGCAAAATGGGGACTCTGCTGCCTTTTGTGGGAATGGTAATGGTGATTTTGGCTCAAGTTAGCAGTATGGTAATAACCAAAGCAGCTATGTCTAATGGGGTTAACAAATATGTTCTTATTGTTTACTCTAATGCTCTCTCCAGCCTTGTTCTTCTCCCTTGCTCTTTCATATTCCACAGGTCCTGATATCTCTAGCATTTCTTAACAAATTTAGCAGCAGACTCGTTCTTTATCTTTGTTTTCTACCTTCTGGTTTGTGAGGTCTTGCAGATCGGTGCATCTTCCCTCGACCTCCTCCAACCTCTACAGATTGATCTTTTTACTTGCCTTGATTGGGTTTGTAAGATGTTTCTCATGTGCACTTTCATTTTTGTTTTGTAGTATGGCTTCTCCTGCAATTTCAAGAATTTTATTGCTTGATATTTCAAGATTATAACTATTAACTTTTGTCGATTATTCAAAAAGATCTTAGATTCTTCACATCCTTTTTCCACGCAGATGTGTTGGCCAGCTATGCGGATATGCCGGTATACAGTACAGTTCTCCTGCTACGGCAACAGCCATGCTTAACCTTGTTCCAGCTTTTACCTTCATACTTGCCATCATTTTCAGGTTCTTATCTCTTCTTTACATATATGCCCATACCCGAATGATTCACCAAATAAATATCTCAATGTCGATTACTGGTAGCGTAGTGCTTGTATAATTGCTCCATTTAGACTTTAGAGTGGGTTGTGGCAGCACTTTGCAAAAATCTTGATTCTGTGAAAATTTATTGGGCTTACCAGCATACTAGTCTGTAAAACTATATGGGTTATAAATAATAGTTGAAATTCTTGCTTTTGTCATTCCAACCTTTCATCTGGTGATTTAGGATGGAGCAGCTAGAATGGAGAAGCACGAGCAGCCAAGCCAAGTTCTTAGGAACAGTAATCTCTATAACAGGGGCATTTGTCGTTACATTTTACAAGGGGCCAATAATTCTGAGTACACAATCACTAGTTGTGCTGCCTCATCAGCTTCTTTTCTCTCCGCAATTAAACTGGGTCCTCGGGGGGCTTCTTCTTGCAGCTGAAGCTTTTATAAACTCTGCATGGTATATTATACAGGTTAGGTTATCAGACCAAACTTGTAATTTATCCCAACCATAAAATCTAATTTATAAGCACCGACTTTAATATTTTGTAAATTCTGCAGACATTGGTTCTGAAAAAGTTCCCAGCAGTACTCACTGTCATGTTTTATCTCTGCTTCTTTAATGCCATTCTGTCCACAATATATTCTTTGTTTCTGGTTAAAGACCCCAGTGCTTGGAAACTAAGACCTGATATAGGACTTGTTGCCATTTTATACTCAGTAAGCACGTTGTAGTTTCAATTTCTCGATTCACTTACAATGGAACATCTAAAAAATTAAAAAGTCACAATGTTTACGACATGAGTGCTATTTACGCAGGCAATAGTTGCAATTACGTTCCGTATCAGCTTGTGTTCATGGTGCCTATGGAAAGCAGGACCTCTCTATGTTTCCATGTTCAAGCCCTTGGCCATTATCTTTGCAGCTGTTATGGGCATTGTTTTCTTAGGAGATGTTCTTTGTCTCGGAAGGTATTGAACAAATTAAATTTATATCAGTTTTTAAGCATTACTATATAATATTCATTAGCAGACAGACATCATCAGTTGATGAAATCATAATCTCTATCACTAATGGTAACTGCTGCTGGCTTTATTGTAGTGTAATTGGTGCAATCATAATTGTGACTGGATTTTATGCGGTGCTGTGGGGAAAAGCTAAAGAGGAGAAGATGGGTGAGGAAAGTGGAGTGGAGAGTCTCGAATCATCAAGCCAGAAGGTCCCTTTGCTGCAAAACAGAATAGAAGGTACAAGATCTTCTGTATAACTTGATGATTATCCCAGAAAAAGAAAAAAAATGTAATTGTAAATCCAACCAATCAACTCTATTCTAGAATTAATCAAGGTAGCAATTTCCCTGTGTTTTGAACTTGTTAAGAGTTTCTGCTAGATATCCCCTTGTAAGTTGTAGCCATATATATCTGTAGGCAAAACATTACAAAAAATCACTAAACCCAAAGTTGAATGTCAAAAGTAATTTATACCATATATACAGAGTTGAGAAACTTGAATACCGTGTAGAAAAAGTTTTATGAATATAGTGAATGAATAGTCAATCTCTTTACAAATTAACTTATACAGAGTTCAAACTTGAGCTAAATGGTAGTAACATACAACAATATATTACATTGTTTTTACGGAATTAGGCCGTTATACATGGTAAAATGCAGTAAAACACTAAAAAATTTATATTTGATGTATTGTTAATGTTTAAATTTTATATACTATCAATGAATCAGATAATAAAACTTTATTAATAAAGAAGTTTTTTTTACAAAATTTAAGTTTTATATATTTATTTAAGCATTAGTAAAAATTCATATTTGATCATTGATGAAGTTACATAATCTGATTCATTGATATATACTGACAATGCATCAAATATAAATTCCATTACAAAACATATTTTCATAGTTTTACAGCATTAGACTGTTAATGCTCATATTTTGATAAAAATATTCAATATGCTATCTTGAGTTCAACAGCTGCTACTATGCAATTATATTTACTACTACTTATGTGTATAATCCAGTAAGTTAAACAAGAGTTTTAATTTTTAATTTCTAACCAAATTCAAGTATCACAGTAAAACAAACAAAAATTAAACAAGATGAGATCGTAATAAGCTATTGTTAGATTAGAAATTAAGCTCAACACATTCATCCTAGGAGATTGTAACACTTTATTAGTTCAAGTACCACACGGATAATTTTTAAAATTTAAATACTAATTCAAACAGTTATTGTTTGAATATTAATTTTATTATCGAAGAATTATTTGATAATTAATGGAACTTTTTAATTTTATAAATGGATTTAAGAAATTGATACATTTTTTATTTTTAATTATTTTTTATGTACCAACCTTCTAATAGTCTAAAAATTGGAGTGTCACTGTCAGTGTTTAATCATTTTTCTTGTCATTTAACTCTCTTTTCATAAAAAAACAAAAAAACGAAAAAAACAAAAACAAAAAAAAAGAAAAAATAATGAATAGATGTCCAGTTGTAGCAATGAAACTCCTTGGATAGCAGACAAAATTATAAGGTATATTAATCTGGAAAATATGAGGCAACAAACTGATCAATCCCTCTTGTCTCTTCTTGCTGGCAAGAGGTCACTACCCAAGAAGGTGAACTTATTAAAGGATCGATCTCGAGCCAAATATTCTGAAGTAGGAACACTGCATATTATTTACTAATAAAACATAAGACAACCTATTAAAAGGGAGTAGGTGGCCTGGCCTCTATGCCTTGTTGTGAAGATAGTCATCAATCTCCACAAAGTTCTTCACTGCAAATTCCTTAATGACGCTTGGATCAGGGATCTCTTCACTTGCCTTCTCAAATTCACAAGACCATTTAACCAAGCTCGACTCTCCCTTGGGAACCACATTGATCTTACTAATGAAAGTTTTGTAGTACTTCATGAGATCCCCATCAATTATGTTGTAAACGTACATCTTTCCAGCTTCATCCACTGATTCAATTCTCTCTTTTGATACCTTAACAATAGGAGACCCTAAAATGAAAAAAAAAAAAAAAAACAATGAAAAAAATTTCGATTTGACTCACAATAATATATAATTTAGTTATTCATTTGCTCTCTTTAATTTAGCTACAACCCTTACCCAGGTACATTTGCATAAATGCCACTTATTGCATTAGCTGTCAAACATAGTAGACTTTAAATTCAAATTTTAATTTAATTGGTTCATGTAATTTTCCTTAATAAATGATAATGAGTAAATCTGAAATTCAAATATCCCTTCTATTATGCTCACACTACAATCTTCTTCATAAAATGGAAAAAAGTTAAAGACTTTATACTCTTCCTTTAGGCAAACTTAGTTAAACTTTCTTGGGTCAAGTTCAATGTCAAAAGAAATTTATATAAGGTAACTATACACATGCATAGGAGATTCATCAACTTATCTAGAAAATTGTTAATGTGGAGGTGCTTAATTACTTGCATTTTCAAGAACATGATTGTTTCTATATATCATAGTATTAGAGAAGAACGAAATCATAATAAATATAATTTTTGGCTGTGAATGGATATTAGTGACCTTATTACCAATTAAGCTTCTCTTGTCCAAGAGTGAGAATAGCATAAAATGTCAACTAAGTGACTAATGTTACTCAAGGACACCAAATTACAATGCATTTTAGTTACCTTCAGCATAGTTAATGAGGCGGATAGATCCAGGGGCCTTGCCATCGCCCTCTAGCACTTGAATGCTCTTGTAATCATGGGACAAGGCTTCAGGAAAGATTTTGGTGGAGTCCCTAATGGTTCCCCACACCTTTTCCGCAGAAGACTTTAGCTCAACCTCCACATGAAGCTGACCAGTGCAAGCCATCTCTGTAAGGTACTACTATATACTAAAAGGAAAGCAAAATTCTTGGTTTAGAAAACAAGGTTTCTTGACTTCAGCTTAGCATATAGACTTGAATATATAGCAGTAGAAGAGATAATTGGTTTCTAAATGAGGGTTGAGGGCATTGATTTTCTCTGGTACTAGTTCAACTGCCCGATTGGATTTAGCCATGCACAAGAACACAAGGAACAAGCTAGTCGATGAAGCAATAACTATGGGATGGTAGTGCAATTGAAATCGGATTACTGTTTTGGTGTTTGGCTATGTGCAGTTTTTTCCTTCATTTATAGCTATTTCGGTGTGGCAGGTGAGACCTGCCAGCCATTAAACTCATGATCAACATATTAATTTACTTCATTTCTGTCACTCTTATTAAGTTTTAAGGTTGATATCAACAAATACATGAACACATAAAAATATTAAAAGATATCTAGAAACATTATAATTTCAAATACAATTATGGAAGTTTAAAGAGACAAATTTATTGAGTTTCAAAATAAATAAATTTAATAAATTAAAATACATGATAAGAGATCATCAAAAGGCAATATTGGCATATGATGATAAATTAATTCATATTAGTTGCCCTAATGTTGTTGATGCATGGTACATGATTTAATGATGAACAAATCAATAAATTATAAAACTTAATTTGTTAACATCCCCTTTTCAGCTAACTTCTCTTTTAGCAGTGGGAAAGATATATTTGGTCCTCTCGTGAAAAACATGCCATTGAAGTGCATGGGAACACGGTTGGGAATTAATTGATAAGTCGTTAAAGTAGAAACTAGTTGGTATTATATGTGCCGATGGGCGTTGATGTACTTAAAAACTAGTCCGAACCCAAGCTTGCAACAATTAATGTTAACATTTACTCTTTTGTCACCTCCTTGCTTCATGTCTGCGGCTTTCACGTCGTGAAAGTCTCTGAAAACTTTACCCTTGAATTTACTGTTCTTGACTTAATCCAACACACCCAAAGCTCCATAGTGATTTCCATTGATCTAGTCCAACCCATCATCTTTTGGACATCAACAAGAACGTATTATTTGAACCATTTGCTTCTTTCCTTTTTCTTTGTTACAAATACCTTTACTTCTATTAATATGAAAGCTTTTTTATACTATATAAATAATAATAACACGTAAGTCGAAGTAAATAAGGATGAAATTTTTTCTATGGACACTCAAATTATCAAATTAAATTATGACCTTGAACATATTAAGTGGTTTTAGTAATGAACATATAGTTATAGATATATTTTAATTTTATAAAAAGAAAATTCTATGGATTAATTCTAAAAAAAGGCCAAATATTTATGTAAAAAAAAAAAGGGACGAGTTGGTTACATATGAAAGGGACGAGTGGGGATAAAAAAAATCCATAAAATTTGGGTTAAGAAATTTATAAGTCATGTAGGTCCAAACTAAGTCCAACACAACATAAACAAGTAATTATACTTGAGTTAAAAGTGATCAATTAGTAATCAATTAAAAAATGGATCATAATTGAAGCCTAAACCATGAAAAGTCCAAAGTCTCTAGGTTAGTAGGAACTCGAGTGGAAGACGAAGAGTGCTCATATTTGAACGGAATCAATTCAAATTAAAAGCCTAGGTAGTCCAATCTGATTAAGATTCCATAACAGTCAACCTTTGCTAGAGAAAATCTATCATGCGGTTAGGGGCAATTATCAAGCATTTGCACACTTTGTTCTTGATGACATTCAACACAATGGTTGAGGCAAAGTTTTGAGAAATTATCAAAGAAAGTGTAACACTGGAGAACTCTTAGTGCCTTGAGAAATTATTAATTGGTATGTAGTGTGGGAGAAAATTTACTATTAGTGGAGATATTTTAATTAACCTTCATCTAAAGCAGATACCAATATTAAAGAAGAGAAATTCGGCTTGAAGGCAAGGAATTAAGTAAAGGTTGACATGGAGATTCAACCAGCAGTTACATGTAGTAGAAAGTAGCATGAGGGATGACTACCACCCATGATAAAAAAAAAAAAAAATCATGCATTCTCAAACTATTCAAAATCTACAAATCTCTCCGACCCCATTTCAAGTGGGAAATCATTAGAATCTTGAACCCTCCTAGACGGTAACAGCTATTTATTAGCAGAAATTAGGGAAAAGGAGTGCAGGGTAGCAAATCAAGTAAAACCCACCAACAAAGCTAAATCCGAATGGTTTTCATGGGCTAAAATGGGAAACAGGGTAAAAGTTGAAGCAATCTTTCAACTCATTCTCATCATGCATGCAAAACCGATACAGTAATATGGTTACAGCTTGACTGAGATATTGGCTCTTGAATCTTATTCAGGCTTTATGTCATAATATTAAGGTAATCTGTCAAAGGTGAAATGCTAATTGAGTTGCAGTGAGTTGTTCTGTTACACCGACGTTGCATGCCGATGTATCGTTTGGAACAAATTTTGCTTTGTAAAATTCTACTACTAAGACATGTCATTTTTCATTGGATGAAGAAAACTACAGCCAAACACAATAAGGATTAGATACTAATAATACATTTTGATAAAAAAAAATTATAATACTCCAACAAGTTATTATTTTATAAATAAATTTCTCAACCTTCACAAATGAGATTAAAAGATATTATAATTGTCATATATTTATTTAATAATTTATTAATTTTTATAAACATATTTTAATGGATTATATGTGGACCCTATATAAATCCACTTGCGGTAAGATAATTTCCCATAATGCAATATTACTATTTATAGATGTATCAATTAGTCAAATATATCAATTATATATATTAAGATTCATGAAGTATAGATAAATATATCTAAAACCAAAACTCCTTTCCTCATCTACTTTTTCCACAATTTTCTTTAGTCAATATATTTTTTTGGGAAATAATTTTATTTGAAATTATGAGAGATTAAATCTTAATCACTAAATTTAAAATTAAAAATTCAGTATTTTATTAGTAACGGTTGTTAATATCGTTTGTGGATTATTACAATTTTTTTTAGCTATATAGAGTTATATTTTTTTTAATAATATAATAGCTGGAAGTACTGATGAGTGAAACCTATGGAGCAAACTGACCTACCTTTTCAGTAAATTGAAAAAAAAAAAAAAGGATAATAAGACCAAGGAAAGGATGAAAAAGAAAGCTAGCCTTGTCGTATTTTATACATGGAATGGGAAACAATTGAAAGCTGGAGAAAATTTGAGCACAACATTCAAATGGGTTTTGACTAACTGATTTCCTTGAGATAAGTATATAATTACGCAGCCCATCTGTCATCATATTAAGGTAATCTGTCATAAACTAATGCTGATTGAGTTGTTGCAAAGCAATGTTATGTCGTCTTCTTCTACGTATTTCTAAACCTTACTCTTTTTTTTGGCCGAGAAATTGTAAACCTCACTTAAAGTTTGGGCATCATCCTCTAATTTTTAATTCCAATTTAATACCTTCATATCCTTTTTTCTTTTTTAAATGTAATTAATAAGATAGTTATATCTTTGGTTTATAGTTAAATTTTCTTGTCGATAATTTTAAATAAAAAACGAAAATAATACAAAAATATATATAAAAATAATACAATTTAAAATTTTGACAAAAATTTATATTCGAATTTGATAAAAACAAAAACTTTATTTTGTGTTTGATATATTTATTTGAATTATAATATAATAATTTTCATATTTTATATATGTTTAATACGAAATAAATACGATATAAATGATATAAATACAATAATCTTTAGATCTACATGAGGATTGGCTCTTAGTTTTCTTTTGGTTAAACAAAACGATTTCTTTCTACAAACAGAAAAAATAATACTGGATTGGCTGAATCTTGAAAAAGTTCTCTCTATTTTCCGGCTTCCTAAACTGCGAACTATTTGCAAATAGCATGAAGTCAAAAATGGAAGCTAGAGCAATCCATTGTATGAATTTCTCACCATTTCCTAGTTTGTTCTAAAACTAACCATTTTGAAGAAAGACCACCAAAAGTTAAAAAAGGGTTTTAAATCAAGTTTATTTCAATCAAAAAGGGGCCATAACTGCCAAATACTTCGGTGAAAACCAAAAAGATATTTGCCTTTGGGCAAGGCAAAAGAAGTTTATAGTTTCCTTTTTAGCAAAAGCACATTCCTCACTTTTTCCCCTGGATGAAAGAGGCCAAAGACGCAAAAAAAGAGAACCATCAATTTGTCAGAATCTGAGCATGTTAATGGCAGCAAACAGGATTTTGTCAGAGTTTGGGAGCGTTTTTAAGAACCCATTTTATCACATAATGCTATCTTGAATGCAGACATGAAAGAATCTTAGGTCCCACATTGGTGTTAAAATGAAATAATTATGCACAAATTTCTCAATTTGTCATTTTCATAGGAACAATAGTATTTTCAATTTTCAAAATAGAGAGATGAATTGGAAGAAATAATCACAGAACTCGGGCACTAAAACAAATGAATGAAAGCACCCTCTCAACGGCTACCCTCAAATCTCCAAAAAATAAAAATGGAGGGAGAGATAGTAGCTTCTATTTCTTAACCAAACCAAACACAGCCCACCAATACCAACTTTTACCTTTCATCTGCCTTTTCTTTTCCTTCAAGTACATGTATCTCTCTCTCTATCTGAAATAAAGTTGTTGGAAAAATGTTGTCGAGTATTCTCTAAATCTATCTTCACTTGCTCAATACGTACTCTTGAGGAGATTCCTGTACTATCTAACCTCTTCTTTAGGCACATCCTCAGAATCATTTTCATTTCTTCATATTGTTCAAGCATTAATTAAAAAACTCAACAAAAAAAAATTAGGCTAAAATTTTAGCTTTCATGTCTGTTAGATGACACCAAGCTATTTCTCATAATTCCAGAGCGGTCATGCAACTAGACTCTTTGTCCTATTATCTGTTTCATGTAATATAATCTGTCAACTCAATCATCAAACACAGATTGATTCATCCAAGGAAGAGACACGATGCCTTTTGGGTTAGTCTCAGCATGGAACAAGCGCCGGAGAAGCAAGACCCAGGATCCCACAGACCCATGTATGTTATTCTCCTTCATGTGGTTTCTGGTTAGTCCTTAGACAACGAATTTTTTATGCTCCAACATGTTACCTACCTACTTTTCAGGGATTTATAAACCAGCAGAGTACTGGCAAATTGAGGATCAAACACCCCGGCCTACAAAAAGACGCCATGAATCGTCAGTTTTCACACTCAAGGAGATGGAGGAGGCAACATGCTCTTTCAGTGATGAAAATCTGCTTGGGAAAGGAGGATTTGGCCGAGTTTACAAGGGCACTCTGCGATCAGGAGAGGTATTTATGATTTTTGTAATGTTGTTTCAGTAAAGAATGCTTGTTCCATGAATGAATTATGCTACTTCAATAAGTCAGTCACATCATTTATAGTGCTATCTTGATCAAGTTAAATAATTTCCATCTAATTCATTTAATTAGACACTTTATTATAGGAAGCAATGAACCAAAGAGTGATAGAAACATACAAATTTTCTCTTGCTGTATTCTGAAGGTTGTTGCTATCAAGAAAATGGAGCTGCCACCATCCAAAGAAGCTGATGGAGAACGTGAGTTCCGTGTAGAAGTTGATATCTTGAGCAGACTTGACCATCCAAATCTGGTATCGTTGATAGGTTATTGTGCAGATGGGAAGCACCGGTTTCTAGTCTATGAATACATGCAAAAAGGGAACCTGCAAGATCACTTAAATGGTTGGTTTCTACTCAAATCTGTTTCCAATCTAGTCCCTCATCCATTTAACATCTATCAACCTTAAACTGCTCAATAGGTATTGGGGAAACAAAAATGGATTGGCCTTCAAGGCTCAAAGTGGCACTTGGAGCAGCCAGGGGACTTGCTTATCTACACTCTAGTTCTGCTGTTGGAATTCCTATAGTTCACAGAGATTTCAAGTCCACCAATGTTCTTCTAAATGCCAACTTTGAAGCAAAGGTAAGAAACTTTAATACTTTTTCATGACACATTGACATTATAAAGCATTCGTAACTAACACTCAATTTGTTACTCTCCACAGATATCTGATTTTGGACTAGCCAAACTGATGCCAGAGGGTCATGAGACTTATGTGACTGCCAGAGTTCTTGGCACATTTGGCTATTTTGATCCTGAGTATACATCAGTACGAATCTTCATGTCACAAGTTTTCCCTATGTTTTTTGCTAATGTTTAAAGAGTGTTTAATATTGTTTTATCAGATTCTCTGTTTTTCAACCACTATTGTATGTTAAAGACATTAAAATTTGAGCTCCATGCATTCTAACCATCCTGGGTGCTAGAGGCATGCAAAAGAACATGTTGAAACAAGAAATGTAAGAGTCATCGGTCTAACTAAAATTTCTTTAAGGATCATGGAATGCAAAAACCACACAACTGCACGGCAAGTTTTGACCAACACCAAAATGTGCATGTAAAAGTACTTGGTAACTCAAGTATTCAAGAAAACATATAACATAGAGGTTAGAGAGGGAAGACATTTATAAGATAGTTGTTTGCTTTGTAGGAATGAAGGTTTGCCATTATGAATTTATGAATTTTTCTAGGTCAAAATTTTCCATTGTATGTTTTGTTTGAGACTTTTAGAGTTGTCTTTTGGTTTGCTGTGTCAAACATGTAGCTGAACATAATCCAAAAATCCAACAAAGCAAAACAATCAGCCTTTAGAAGGGTTTGTAAAAGGCAATCAAATCACTACTGTTTTACCCAACCCTAAAAAAGACCTTGGACCTCAAAGATTTCAAAGAACCAAGATATGCTGCCAAAGTATAGATCTAACCTTCCCATCCCCCAACACTCAAAATATGTGGGTTTGCTTCTAGCCTCCAACTTGCATTCAATGCTATTATTATGTAGTACACTATAAACTTTTTCCTGAATTGGTTAAGGAATTGGGTAGTTTGTGATCCGCTTGAAAAAAACATCTTAAATTTAGTGAAAGCCTTATAATTCCAAAAATAAATAGTATCTAACCCGGAGCTTAACACCCCTAAAAGGTGGCATTCGGCAAGTTTGGGGTTTGAATCCCAGAATCCACAACCCCTTGCCCTACTCCCAGGCCGCGGCGTCCTTTGTACCAAAAAAAGACTAAATAGCATCACGTAGTCTAAGTTCCAACCAATAACAAATGGGATAGTTAGATAACTTCTATGTGAATTTTCCTCTTCTTCCTAATAAAATGTACTAATAAGTAGAAAATACTAGGAAGGAGATCTTTTATAAGAAAACATCTCATTCTTCAACCTTTAATAAAATAATATTAGATGTCAGATTTCTTTCAACTAAATTTAATTAGCAATAGCAAGCATGACCTTGGTTTCTTAGTTGTCTTCTCTGATGACAGACAGGAAAACTAACTTTACAAAGTGATGTTTATGCATTCGGAGTGGTTCTTCTGGAGCTTTTGACAGGACGCAGAGCTGTAGACTTAAACCAGGGACCAAATGATCAAAACCTTGTTCTCCAGGTATGCAACAACTTCTCGTTCAAACAGATTATGACTCTAAAGTTTCAAGGACTTCAGCAAATTAGGCAGAGAAAAGGAATGGAATAATAAGTGTGTGGTCCATGTTACAGGTTAGGCACATATTGAATGACCGGAAGAAGTTACGCAAGGTGATCGATCCAGAGATGGGTCGAAGTTCATACACCATTGAATCTATAGCTATGTTTGCAAACCTGGCATCACGCTGTGTCCGTGTTGAGAGCGGAGAGCGACCCTCAATGCCAGAATGTGTAAAAGAACTTCAACTGATTTTATGTAAAAATGCAAAAGGCCTAGGCATGGCTTTTAGGATGGGTTGAGAAATGCGGACTTTTTTACCAGAAGTGAATTGTGTCATATCAACAATAAGGATGCTCTGAATTATGAGCAAACATTATAAACATAGCAATTTGATAAGAGGCATGTTTAGATAAGGTATTTCAGTTATCCATGAGTCAAAACAAAAGAAATTTGAGTAGGGTCATGTTGAGAGTGATTTCAAGGTAAAGAACAATTGGAGAACTGAGAAACTTGAAGTGATAATATTTCCTCATATGTATAGTTGTAGTCTAGCATCACCAGTTTGTTTGCTAAATGTTTTTCTTAGTGCAGCTAATTCTATGCATTGTATATTGTATAAATACGGTTAAATAATAAGTATTGTGCACCCAAAATAAAAATGTGAACAAATAGCGCTCTTGTGCTCTTTAATTTCATTTGCACTAACAATAACCATAATTCATAAAAGGATGCCTTCTTTTCTCCCTTTCCTGTTCATAAGTTCAAGCTCAAAATTATGCAACATATAAACCCCACGTAAACAGAGCAGAAGAGAGAAAGATAGTGAATTAGAAGTTTGTTTAAGACCATAATTTGACAACAAGTGACAAAAGCAATGGAGATGCCAGATGCAATTAACCTTTAAAGTGTGCTCTACTATGCACATGATTAATTAAAACCAAGGAGATATTGTGAGTGGCCATTACATTCCTAGTAGGAAATACATCCAAATGGATGATCATAGCAAGCTTGTTGAACTACATTAGGGACCTGGAAACCTCAGTTCATGAAAAGAGACAATGCAGCGGACAAGATATAACAACGAAGTCATCTTCACATACGAGCAACACAATTTAACAGGTGTACAACAGTGATTAACAACAAGAGGAGGAGGCGAGAGTTTCAGTAAAACATGATAAACATATGGGTTGCATGAGTGACTTGAACTGCATGTAGCTCAAAAGATTACAATTACAGTAAGATTTCAACTTACCCATTTATAAGGGAAGTTCCACACCAGAGTCTGACATATCTGATTCTGGGAAACTGTTAAAATCAGGAAGTTTCTTGCACATCAAGTGCTTACGTCTCTGTAATGTCAACAAGATAAAGATACTATCTGTCTGAACAACATTGTATCCTGCTTTTATGTACATGTTGAATGGAGCCTCATCAATCATTCTGCAATGCAAGTACACCTCTTTTGAAGAAGTCAGTTGAGATATTATCTCCTCACTTGCTTTGAGAAGACGCCAACCAATGCCCCTCCTAAATTATTCAAATGCAGACACCAAGAATTTAATTACTTACAAAAAATAAGGCTATCATTTTTAAACTGAACAAGTTGCGAAGAGAAAATATCTATATAAATGCATGTCATAAGAACAATTGAAGTACAAAAAAAAAAAGAAAAAGGATTGGAACAATGCTTCAGGACACAGCAAATATCATTGGACACAGCCTCTTGATTCCAGGCTCAAATTAGAACACTCTAAATGCATAGATTAATAAGGATCCATGAAGAAAAATCAAGCATTGAGCAAACTTTTAGACATAGCAAGAAAATCTGCAAAAAACTATCCTTTGATATTCCTCCAACATTATTCAATCAATACTGTTTCCCGATTTAGCAAAGTCTACATATGTGTTTTATGGCTCAATTTTTTTTTCCCATTTTTAGAGCCAAGGAACAGGCCTTTTTCCAAATATTTTCATTAGTGAAATATCACTGGAGGAAAAAAAAAACTGACAAAAGAAAAACTCAATCCGGAATGAGAGTATGATGACTACAAGAACAAATTTGTACACATAAAATGACTTAAACATCACAAATCTTACATTGTCTTTCACTTAGTGATTAACCTACTTACAATCTTCACCCCCACTAAGTGTGTTACACTACTCTTCAAACGAAAAACTCAACTTGGAAGGAGAACACGTTGAACGCAAGAACAAACTTTTTAGTCATCAGATGGCTTTAACATTACAAATTGTCTTTCATTTAGTTATTAACCTATAAATAATCTTGACTGCACAGACGCATGTAACAACAATATTCAACATGTCATTGTTCCCTTCCACTCATATCCACCGAATAAAGAATGCAAAAAACTAACAATATAACAAAAACAAATAACTTTATACCTTCTAAGATGCTTTGTAACAGTCATGTTACAAACATATGGCGAATTCTTGGGAGGTGTAGGTGTAGGAGGAGAAGCATTAGCACCCCTTTTGTCAAAGCAAACTTCCACGGTCCCAGCCAGTTCCTCTCCTCTCAGTCCACCTTTCTCTCTATAAAACCCAACAAGTGTCACGGCATGTGGCATCACAGCTCTCCTCTCAATCAAATACTGTTTAACAAAGAACCTCAACAAAGCCTCATATCCCAAAGACATGAACATTAACTCAGCAAAAGAAAAAGCCAACAACCCAACTGTCAAATCCATCTCCTCATTCCTCATGACCCGAACCCACAACGACCCAGATTCCAATTCTTGAAAATAAACAAAAGACTCCAAAGTTTTGACGTTTTCAAGCTCTTCATTGGTTAAAAAGCGGCTTCCCCTGAATGGGTCATCAAGAAAGGAGTAGTACTGAGCTGGAGTGACAGAATTGGTGGAGGAAGAAGAAGGGAGAGAACATTTGAAATTGTTACGATGGAGTTTGTGGAGCGAGAGAAAAGTGTTTCTAGATGAAAGAAAGGGAGGGCCTTTGGTGGGATTAAGGTGGGTATGGAAGTGTTGCTGTTGTTTAGGATCTAAGTACAGAGGAAGTGAAAGTGCTGTTGCCGCCATAGCAGTAGCAGGGGCCTTTTTTTTTTTTTTTTATCTGATTTTGTTGACTTATTTGAGATCAGAATCACTTGATAATGAGATAAATTTGGAACTCATTTTCCTATAATTATCAAAGAAAACATTTTACCTGAATGTCTTCTTTTCTTTCTTTCTTTGTGACTTTGTGCCACTGGCTGAGTGACATGCAATGATAGAAATAGATAGCCAGATTGGGGTAAACTAAAAGGAACCGAATCCAAAGATATTGTTTCAAGGCACATGTTGTACTCATTCCGGATCGGTTTTGATTTGCTTTGTTATTTTCTAGAAAAACAATAAGATAAAAATAAGATAAAAGATTAATAGTAAAAATAAAAATAAATAAAAGCATTTAATCAAACATTTTCTTATTTTTACTTCCATCGAGTAGAAGGTTTTTTACTCCTTTTCTCTCCAATTTTCTTAACACTAAAAAATAAAAATAAAAATAAAATAAAATCACTCGCCATTTAAAGTTTGACAAATTAAACTTAAAAATTGAAAACGTGTCCAAACTAATCAAACATCGAACTTAATCTTATTAAATTTGATAAAATAAATAAATAATCGAGCTTGAAAGAGTTATAATAAAATTTTGTCTTATTAATAAAGAGGTCTTAAGTTTTAGATTTGAGATTCAAGTTTTATTAAGTTTTGATTTCATACAATTATATACTAATTTGTTAATCACTGGTTTATTGTATTTATTGACATTAAATTAAAATTGTATCATTATGATTGTAACTTTTATTAATACATATAATCATCAAATTGAAACTTAAAATAACTTGAAATCTATATTAAAATCACAAGATCTCTAATTAAAACTTTCTTCTTTAATCAAATGCCAAAACTTTTAAAAGATCAAATTCATTCATAATATAGTTATATACAATATCAACCCAATGATTTTTAGTTTGATTTATTTATTGAGTTTTTTTTTCTTGTTGTATATTAAAAATTGTTTGACTATGATTGCAATTTTTATTAATCCATGTAATTCATTAAATTTGAGATCAATTAGACCCAAAATAACTAGAACTTATACCAAAGTTACATGATCTCTAATTAAATACCAATTATCTTTAATTAAATGCTAAAACTTTTAAAAAATAATATTCATTTATAATATAGGTTATATATAATATTTTCATTTAACTTGTAACTTAGTGTAAGATTATTAATTTAGTATTTTCATTTTATTGCAAGAATACTCATGTAAAAATTTATTAATCCAATCTGATTTAGCAATTTTAAACTTCGAATAATAAAGATGTTTTTATTTTTGAGTGTGTATGGACATTAATATGACTAGAGATATCTACACCCACCATGTGGGTGAAAAGAAAATAAAAATTGTAATTTGAAAATGATAAGAAAGTTATTTGATGATTGGGTAGGTTTTTTTTAAATAAATGTGAAAAAAAAAAACATTTTATTTTAAAAATAATAAAACATAAATACCCTTAAATTCATTTTATTATTGTAACTTTAATTTGAATTATAAGTAATTTTTCAAACTGAGTTAATATATGTTTAACTCGTGAGATCAACTCAATGAGACATTTTAATAGTAGCACATATGCAAAAGATTAAAGATGTTTGAATTTAAGTTTAATTTAATTGATTTGTGAAATTTTAAGAAGTGTCATGTAACAAATTTTTTTTTCAAAATTAAAATACTTGCTACCTTTTTTTAACTACAATTTCTTTGATAAAAAATATTTTTTTTTTTTTTGTAATAATTTAACCTTTTGGATATCATCTCCAAACTTTAAAACTTTCATCACTTGACTTTCTATGCAATTCACTTATTGATTTAAAATGTTATATTCATTTTACTCAACAAGGTTTCAAATGCTTCATTTTACTAAGGCTCCTTGTAAAAACAACACATTTGAGGCAAAAATAAAATTAATTTATTTTTTAGGATATTAATATAAAATTTTCTAATTGAAAAGAAACAAATGGTATTATTAAATTCAAAGTCAACTGATGAATTAAGTTCAAATATATATATATATATATACATATATATATATTAAGCATAAAAGCTAAATTCATTTATGGTGTAATAAATCTAGGTTACACAAAGAGGGGGAAGCTCACATGACCATAGCCTTATTTTCCCACACTGAATAAAAACCTTTGGAAGATTATATGCTAAACCATTTGCTTTCCTATTGATATATTTGAAAGAGCTTTTTTGAAAACTAGTAGCGAGCTCCTTAATGTCTTGTATCAAACTTCGTCTTGCAAAGAAAGACTAAATCCTATCAATGATTTCCTTTATAGCTATTAGGGAGTCACTTTCCACAAGTATTTTCTCCACCCCTTAAGCTTAAGCCACCTCTAAACCCCATTTGATTGCATTCATTTTTACCATTAAAGGATAGTTTATTGGCTTTCTTAGCCAATGCAAAGAAGATGATATTTTTATTTGTGTCTTAAAGCACTACTCATAAGCCCGCCTCATTAATGGAAGCAATAAACTTGGCATCAACATTTAGTTTGAGCACATTTTGTTTTGAGGGATGCCAGTAAATCTGTTAGATGTTTGAGTAACTACCTTTCTGCTATCCCATAATCTCTTTTACCATACATCTTGCTTGTCTTGTCAAGTTCCTATAAGTCAAGCATTTTTCTTGGTGAACACTTGAGTTTCTATTCATCTATAACAACCAGATGCACAACATGTAAGTCTCTATAGAATTTGTCTATGTTACACTGCTAAAAACTTGCAACCAAAAATCTTCAAAAGAGTTATTATAAGGTATGGAGTTAATTGTCACATTTAGCTTTTCTATAACTTGCTACTAAGACAACATTCAACAAAAATATGACACCATGATTCCCTATAGCTTTCCACATATTGAACATTTGTTTTCTAGATGCAAACTTTAGTTAACTATTTGTTGGTAAATAGTCATGTATAAGTCTTCATAAGCAGATTTTACCTTTGGAAACACTTTAGCCATCCATATGTTTTCCAAGATGTCGCTGATCTTGATTTGGACACCTTTATCCTAGCACCTTCCTTGTTTGAAAATAGGCTGATTTTATAGTAAAGTTCTAAAGTAATATGTCATTTCGGATGAGAGTATCTTGAGTGCTATGTTTACATAGTAGTATACTTATTATTCTTTTGGCATCCTCAGAAGAGACATCTAATTTATGATCTTAGTTCTCCATTTTGGTGATCCTTGATCAATTAAGAGATCTACCCTTATTGGTACAGGTTGATGTTCCCCGAAAGCTTTAGCTTTATAGTGTGGTGGTTTGTTCAACCAAATATCTTGCCAAATATCCATTCTCTACCCATCACCAATCCTTTATCTTGTACCATTTAGTAGTATATCTCTACCAACCAACAAACTAGTCCATAAATATGAAGGAGCCATGCCTTTTTTGGCTTTTAAAAAGAAGCCACTTGAAAAATACCTAGCCTTCAAAACTCTGCTACATAGTATCGTAACAATTTTTGGGATCCCTTGATGAATTTGAAAATAATAAAAAGAAAAAGTCATCACCAATCTTTTTTTGTTATGTGTGATTGACCACCTATTAAACTTACATTTTTAATAAAATCTTAAAATTAATTAAAACTTATTAAAAAGATAATTTTTGGGTTTATGAAAATAATTTAGGTTTGGGAGTCAATTACGCGTAAAAAAGGTTTAGCACTTCTACAGTGCCCATTAAAAAATTATACCAATTAATTATGTGTTATCTTTTAATTTTGATAAATAAGTATTAGCTTTGGTATTTAAAAAAATTAATTTTCTTAAAAAAAATTTTATTGTAGAAAAAAAAACATATTTCCATATTTCTTTTTTTTATCTTGGTTAAAAAAATAAATAAGAACCTTATTTATTGAAAAATTCTCGAAATTATTTTGATACTTTAGCAATATTAAAAGGAACTTTTTCACATAAGGATTTTTTAAGAATCACTATTTGAAATTCTTAAAAAATCACATCCTTAATGGTTCATATTTATCTCCAAAATCAATATTTGTAATGCATGTAATAAAATATGATAACTATAATACCAATAATATTTAAAGAAATTCATTTCTTATTCTATTTATTAAAATAGACAAGAAATCTTTATAAAAAAAATTCTAAATAGTCAAATGCATTGGTGACATTTTAAATAAATTTCTTATTTAGATATTCTTAAAGAATCACTACTCACACATCTTTAGAATCTCATCCTCGAAGATTTTTTCATTTACTTTTATAATAATTATTAATATTTAAAAGTTATGTAGTAATATAAGTATCTATAAATTTATTTCCTAAAAAATGCATACTTTTATAAACATTTTATATTTTTATTTCTTTCTTTAAAAAAATAAATTAAGGAAAAATAAAAATCTTTGTATTGAAAAGAGTTTCTTAATATTCTAATACTTTGGCAATTTTTAGAAGTATTTTCTCACCTAAAAATTTCTCAAAAATTACTACTCAAACTTTCTGGAATCCCATCATTAGAATTTTCCATTATTTATTAATTTTTACTATTATTATTTCACCCTAAAAGTTATATTATGACATAATTATTCATAAATGAATTTATTTCTTAAAAACATATATTTTTATAAATAGTTTATATTTTATTTATATATTTTTAAATTATTCAAATTAAATAACAAAATGAAAATTTTTGTATTGAAAAGACTTTCTAAATATTTTAATATTTTGATAATTTATAGAAGACTTTTCTTTCTTATGGAACTTTTGAGAATCACTACTCGAACCTTTCAAAATTCTATCATCAAATATTTTCATTTATTATTTTTATTTTTATTTTATTTTTTATATCAACAAAGTAAATTTTCACTTAAAGATAAAATTAACACTAATAATAAAATTTTAAGAATATGTATTTTCATAAGCATTATTAATTATTTCCAAGAATGAATATTTTATAAAAATATTACTAACATGAGTAATGTAAAGCATTTCAAGGAAAAGCCCAAAAAAATATAAAAATTACCTAAACAAAGCTTTGATGCTAAAGCTTAATGACCACAAAATAGGCCCAGGTGATTTGGGCTATTGAGACAAGTTGGGTCATGAGAAGCCTTGGATCAAGTCCACTGGGTCAGGTCATGGAAGGCCTTAGATTAGGCCCATTGG